TTGCTCATTTGTTTAAGGGGGGTAGTAACTGAGACTTGAACACTATATATTCCATTCCTTTGAAAGGGGAATATCATAACTATAGAGCTACACCGTTTGGCTGGCATTCAATTGTGTTTCACCAGGAACATTGGGGGCAACACCAGGCTAGTCTAGTCCGAAACAGAGGCTAGCTAAGACAAGGTTCAGTATGAAGGCAAGGAGTTAGTTGAAATTTAAACCCCGGTAGCCGATCCAATCTAATGCGATTGCCTGCTTCTTTCTAGGCTATAGTTTACCTGTGTCCAACACTTAGGTGCTTTCTAAGATCATCCTATATGAAAGATGTATGACATGTGTGGATAATGAATTACTTGCATGGTATGCAATCTGAACGTCCACAGAGTACAAAAGGTAAGACCTAATAAGATAAATGAGCTTAGCACAACACGATATGGGATAGAAACCTAATCCTCCATCACTGAACAATCATAGGAATAAAATAAATAGGTTCAGACCAAGTGACAGAACTCTCTATGAGTTGGGCTAAATAAAAGATCCTATTCTAAAATGAATGTAAGCCCAATACTCCCACTCCTCATCCAGAACTATAGAAAGAAAGTGATTCATAGACAAAAGAGCGATTTATTTGATTGGACATATCATATTATACCGGGTTGGATCGATCAAGACCAGTTGCGGCAGTTGATCAATGAACGTTAGCAGAAGCAGGGATTTAGATAGAAAAGAAGGCCGGGCAATAGAGAGTAAGGAGCTGCTGGATGGAATGAAGGCTCGTTGGTAAAGCGAAAGACTTACGACTTTGAATTGAGGCGTGATGTAATTGCCGAAGCTCTTTCAAGCATTATTTAAAGAAGGGCACAAAGGAAACAACTTTGTATCTCTTTAGTGATAAGTCTTTTCTGCTCTTAATAGAGAGCGCAGTTCCAGCAGAATCCTAATCACTGCTGAAACCCCCAGCGAGCTTGATAGATTGGACGACTTATTAGTCGAGCTTCTTTAAACCTGTCACTAACCCAACAAGCGGATGGAGCGAAGCATATATAAAACATCCTAATAGCAGCAGAAAGAAATTACATTTTGAATGGTGAAATACTTGGAACGAGCATTAAAAGTCAGGCCAACATCCCCGTTAGCAAGACCGAAACTAGATGCGGCTAGCGTGCCTTTTATCGCGAGTTTGCACCCTCGGAGATGGTAACTAGCTGCCTGGGGGGTGGGCTCGCCTTCTTTGGCACTTTTCTCTATAAATAATGCTTGCTTTCTCAACATCCAATGATCAAAGCGAAATATCGTAAGAGAAGAAGTTCGAGTTTCATTTCATTTCTTTTGATTCTTGAAGAAGTCGAGCAGGGAAACGCAAGGTTTAGCCAAGCACTTCGAGACAGGGCAAACTTCGAGCGTCAACTAATGGATTAGCATGTTTAGTAAATTCCCCGGGTGAATCCTTTTACCGTTACGGTATTCTCGGGGATGATGTCGTTATTGCTGCGAAACGGAGCACAACCGGTCTCAGAAATGAGTTCTTTCTGATAGGAAATCTGAACTTTGAGGCGGTTCAGAGTTCTATATCTTTGTGATTCAAAGCTTCATGCTTTCTTCTTGCTCGGGGAACCTGCTGTAGATGGATACGGTTGGCAACTGACTGGAATGATTAGAGCTTAAATAAGAATAAGAAAGTAGAGTCACCAAGGCCAATCAGTGAATGAGGGAACGAACCCCTTACCTTAACCTTAAGCAATCAAATGAATCAGATTTCCTATTCCCTATTCTCTAATCTAATAAAGGGAGGACTTTCAAAGGAGAGTAGCGAAGCAACTTCCGGTAGCTGTTATAAAGAATCAATACCGAGCGTAGAGTTTGCTTTTGGCTGCTAAGGACTTGATTACGCTTGGCTTCTCCCTCTATTTCCAGTGGATCTCGCTTTCTTGTCTTGACTTGGGCTTGCGCCTTTGTCCGTTCGTATGGCGTAAAAGTAGTTTCAATCGGGGGAAGATCCCATATCATAGGTGAATGACCTTTAAGGATTTCACGACACAGAATGAATAGATAGACTGATGACATGTCCAATGCCAACCTCTACCAAAGGGAATTTAAACGATGTTGCTGCTGATAGGGATTCGCTAAACCTCGGTGTCGTCTCTGCCCTTCTTTCTCGTTCATGTTGCCAGTAGATGCGTTACGGATTTGATATCCACAGAGGTGAAGGTGATCTCTTCTCCTATATTAATCGAATACTTCCTCACCCAATCTGAGATGAAAGGAGGGCCTTCCCTGGGGATGAGATCGATGTGCTTGAGAAGTAGTTCCGTCCATGGGCGAATATCCGGTCTGGGAAACCCGTCTCGTAAAAGACTCCTGGGGCTGAGCTGATATTCCCCGATCGAACTGCTTCAGGCCTCTGTCTTCTTGCTTGATTCTTCCTCGGTGTTTGGGTTGGACGACTATTAGTAAAGCGGGCGCTTATACCGATGCCGAACAACCCATGTACTGTACCGCTTCTTCTCATGCCCCCTAGCCAACGCATCAACGTATACTCGTTCAGTCCACATGAAGGAAAAGTACTCGTTCTAAAAGACATAATGGTAGGCGCGAGAACTACAAAAGCCAGGTCAGAACCACAGCTATCTTCTTATGTTAGTCCCCGCAGGTCGATCAAACAAGAGTGCTCCTCTCCTCTTTACGCTTTATCTGGTCGCTAGCTCTTTATCTAGCTACAGTTACATATATGCCCTTACCTTAGGCCAACATAGAAATCACACTTGGAAGGGGATTCCTTTCGAACCCCGTCTAGCTCCCTCTATGAAATAAAGCCTGGAAGCCGGTGTTCGGAGGAGTTGTTTATTACTGCTTTTCCGGGGCCGAGAAGGTTGGACTTTTTGGAAAGGCTGCTTTCATGCGTGCCGAAAGGCTAGTTGGGTCAATCGGAGATCACCTCTACAAGCCTTAGGCTGAAAGGCCAATGATCGATAGGACCGGAGAAGCAAAGAAAGGCTAGTTTCCAGATCAGGATATCCACTTCGCCGAGTTGTTGTTACGCGGAGGTACGCCACGCCTGGAGTGGCAGACCAGTATGAACCCTACACTTACTTAAAAGCTTCATCGCATCCTTAAGCTTCTTCTATCGATCTCCATTCGATCCTCTCACTTCGTGCCTCTCTCCAGTTTGATCAACCGGTGGGGACTAACATAACACGGGCTTCAGGCTTTCCAGCAGCTTACACAGAGGCAGCTAAAGCGGAGGGCTAAAGTGGTAAAGCACAGGCTACACCATCGTCGCATTCAAGGAATGAATCAAGCAGAGCGCAGTCAACAAGAAAGAAAAAGGAGCGAGCTTCTCACTCTAGAGATCAAAAGCAAGATTCAATTGAGAGAGCGGGCCCATGAAAAAGGGCCAAAAAAGACCTGACCTATATTTAATGCGAATGCGGCGGCGGACCCTGAACCACGATCCGTAACCAAGATCCGTGAACCAAGAGCCTAAAGACATAAAGAGAGCCAGTAAAGGTGCGAAACAAAGTATTCACTCACGCCCGGCGGGTGAGGTCTAGATTGATCCCAGGAACCGACAGCCCCCTCTCTTTAGCTCAACTCTTAGATCTCTTGATTGGACTCTAGAAGAAGCTATCAAGCAAGATAAGAAGCTCAACAAAGAAAGTAGTCGATCGGAGCTACAATAGGCCGGAAAGAAGGACTTTGATGAGTCCCCCTTCGGTCGATTTCAAATCCGATCTTTCATATTATCATAAGTAGAAGCAGGAATGGTTTTAGCTAAGTCGGATAGCTATCGGATGCTCAGTTCAAGATCAAGACGAAAAACGAATAGGCGAAAGATAGGATTCTATCTCCACCCTTGGGGAACTCATGAAAGTCTTTTCTTTAGTCAAGAGACACCCGGCATGCATGGGAAGTCTCCTCATTGCAGTGGGAAGCTAAGGATGGCTGCTAAGGAGGGGAAGGTACGAACATGGTAGCCCAGGAGCTAATGTAGCTAAGACATGTGCAGCTAAGGCATGGGACGAGGCAGTCATGGGCATGATGGGAAGCTGCGACCAAGGCGTGCAAACCTCCTAACCACCACAGTCGATAGTCACTCCACTGTCACTCCTAGCGAAGAACCAATCAGTCATGGTAAAGCGAAGGAAGACTCCAACACCGGTATCTCTTTAGCAGCCTAACCGGAGAAGCGAAGGAACAGTCCATAAGTGCATGGGGAAAGGCAGCTACAAAGCACCTGTTTCTGAGGGACAACCAGTATCGTGTAAACACCAGCAGGAGAACCGAAAAGCATACACTTCGGAAGTGTCCGCTGAAGGTTCCGCTAAGGGTTGAAAAGCTGTCCTCTACAACCTCCGAAGCTGCTCTGAAGCTTACCATCTTCAGATGAAGGGATACCAAATCAATAGGTCGACATGAGACTTTCTCTCGTTGCTTTGAAAAGATAAACTTTCTAAATCGATATTTGTCATGGAATGGAATGGATTCAATGTTCAGGAATCGACTTCGTAGCCTCTTCTGTGAAGAAGGACTTTGCTTTTCTTTGGCCTTAGAGGACCTTTCCCCTGTTGGCAGCTTCCCCTTTCTTAAACTGAAAGTTGGGGTTTTGGGGTTACGAGGCTACAAATCCATAGTTTGAATACTTCCTGAAGGTAATCAGTCACGAGGGGATGCTTTCTCGCGATTCAATAGAAGAGGCTAGTCGAAATCGTAGGTCGAAAGGAACCTTTAAATAGTCGTTAAAAGTCGCTCTCAAAATCCATTCCTCTGGTCATATCTCTTCTGCTGATTCGGGTGGTCAGGAGAGACTTTCTCTTTCTGGCTTTACCGGGCGTAACTCCTCTCTTCCGTCTTCTAGTCTGGTATTGACCATTGTTGCGTCGGTCATCAGTCTTATCGGTGGAGGTTTGTTTGCAAGATTCTCCCGGCCGGATTAATCCTTCGATCGTTCTTTGCTTCGAACACGGCGCTCTCTTCGGCGCTGTTCGTTCGTTGATAAGTAATGCATAAATGTTCAGTCCCTCCCCCTTCTGTTCCCTTTAAGAATGGAAAGAAACCTCTCCTTAGCGACTTTGCGAAAGCCTGATTGTTTTCTTGCTTCCTCGTACAAACAAGACTTGTGAATTAGATGACGCACAAGAAAGTCACCAAAATCCGGTCTTTTTGCTATAAATGCCCTTTTAAGACCAGCTTCTAAAGTAATAGCTTAAGTAAGCATTTTCAGGAAGCTCTCCTTTTTTGTGTCTAAAAGCCCGTCTTTTGAGCATGATTTAGGGGGTCTATCAGTGAACCTTGTTCAATGCTTAACACATGCAAGTAGATGAAACTGGACTTTTCTTTTATAGGACAACTAGTTTTCCAATACTGCTACTGCTTTTCTTTTCTGCTGCTACGAGGCGTATTGCAACAACGCTAACACCTTCCTTTCGGACCACATAGGAACAAGAGCCGCTCTAAAGAGCACCTCACTGAAGAGGCTTATGTATAAGTAGTCTTCACCGAGTTCCCGCATCCAACTCGAAATCTCGGAAAAAGAATGTTATGCCTTACAAAAGAAAAGGTGCGGTCGAAACAACGGGAACTTCGTCCCTTCTCTTCCTTTGCTCTATGATAGGGGGACCTATGCTTTTTTCAATCCGGAGAACACTCAAGGAGACCAGACCCCTTTGCTTCTTCCGATGCTGTTCCCGAGATGAATGATTTGGATGGTGGTCCCGAGATAGATAGAGAGAGATTGCATAGATCTGCCTGTGACCCTTAGGCCTTTTCCAGAGGGCTGCTAAGGGGCTAAAGGGAATGCCGGAGCTAAGGGGCAGAGGGCAGAGAAAGGGTGCCGGAAGGGGTGCCACGAGATTTGCCCGAGAGGGCTGACCCGCAAGAGTGAGAAGGAGTCCACCAGTTAAGGGTGCCGAGATTTGGTTTTTTGGCCGCTAGGCCCAAGGCAAATGGATTCCTTCATTCATTAGAGTGAGAGCTAACATGCAGGGCTGCTCCTTTTTTGGCGTGTTCAAGTTCGTTTTTTAGGCCCCTGGCAAATTTCTTCATTCATTCCGAAAAAGATGCCGGAGAAGACATGCAGAGAAGAGATCCGAACCTTCGCTTCCCACTTACCGGTCGTATGCAGCTCCTCTTTCCTTCTCTTTTGCCCTTCTCTTTCGGAGGCTAGGACCCTCAGAAATCGCCTCTCGGGAATAGGACGTTCCACTCCACAAGCGGACCTTTGTTCTTCGTTCTGGCACCATCCTTCGATACCTGTTAGGACTTTCAACCCTCATAATCACCCCAGAGATAGGGATCTCGTTTCACGAAAGGTAGGCCAATCCTGGGAAGTCGTCTGTCGACCTATCCCCAAGATCAGAAGATCCGGCCTCTCCCACGGCCCTTCTCTTCGCCTTACCCGTGCACTTATCGACTACTGAACCTTGGCTTCCGATCCTGGTGGAGATAGAATCACCAATCTTTTGCCCAGAAAGCTGCATTACCTTCTTTGATTTCTTAGTCCACCAATTGTATTGTAAGGTCGAAGAAACAGGATTTGGACTTCTTTCTTCCTTATCTTCAGGAGGCGGGGCAGATGTCCAAGATCGATCAAGAACTTTCTTAGTAAGAACTTGTCTCCTCTTTCCTCTTCAGCAGCACCAGATGTCCCAGTTCAGGTTAGCTCCTTACAATAATGGCTTAGTTCAACCAATTCTCAACGATGTAAGAAGTGGGGCACAAACACAATCTTGATAATGAAAATGCAAGTACAGCTGGATAACAAAATCCATCTGAGGAAGAAGCTCAAGCGAATACTGGATCTCAACTACTCTTCTTTATTTAAACTATATCGAACTCTTATAAGAGAGGTAAAGGAAGGGGTGTAAGGGACACTTTTATACATGTATAATTTGTTTCGGCCAAAGGTCGAGAGTTGGCTGACTGATCCCATGTACGTCATCGGCTTCTAAATTTGATGAAACACCTGGAGAAGTCTCAGATGTTTTGGCCTCTAGTGGAGGTACTTCTTAGGAGCTCTGTTTGTAGAAAGTTCCAATATATTGGTTTGAGGGCTAAGGTCCCCCGTTTCTGATCCAAGGTATCGGATGTTGGTTGAGGATTTCTTTAAGAAAGTGGCATCCGTTGATGGAATTGTCCCGAGTTACCGGTCAAGATTCTTGCCCGCGAGCTAATAAGAGGGCTAGGGGGCGATATTTTGTAATGGTATGGAGCAGCAGGAGTCGAACTTGCGAACGTTACAGATGATTGAAATACTGATTCAACTACCTATCCATTTGTTCCAGATGCCTTAGCTCAAATAAGATCTGAAATACCGATCCTTATATAAACTCAAAGAAGTTGTCCTTGACGGGGGCAAGGGCCCAGAAGAGTTTAGAAAGAAAGTAAGTAAGAGCTTTTTTAGCATCTGGTCCTGGTTCCGGAACTACCAAAGAGCTGAGACCGGCTACTTGTTGGAAATATTTCCCTTTTGGGCCGCCTTTCCTGTGGTCACCGAGGGGAAGCGGGATTGAGTTTAACAGATATTTGGCATAAAGTTGAGGAAGGGGCGGGATTCCCCACTCCAAATGTGAAGAGTAAAGGCTTTTACCATGAGAACCTGGAAGCTATGACGCACGTGATTCTAATCCATTTCTGAGGTCTTTCTTGGATCTGCCCTTTTTGTTCTTCGCTTTCGGGGAGTTTTGAGCTAAGTATTTTACCACTGGTACCGAGATTCGTGGGTTTAGCCCCTTGTCTCAGAATCTTAGGCTTGGAAATCCCGTTTAGTCCGATATTAAAGTAACCAACCAAGGAAAAGACCATCAGAAAGTGGTTCTTCAAACGAAGACTTGTACAAATTACTAAAGTTATCGAAAGAAAGAATTAATGTACAACTTATGTCGAAAATGAAAAATAAAGAAAAGTTGATTCGGTCCACCAGCTTTTGGCCGATGCCTTTGAGGGGCGCCCTGTTACGGTAAGGCCTATGACGTGTGGCACGACCTCGGCAGTGGAGGTCCTTCACCGCGAGCTCCTGTTCTCCTGTTGGGTCTACGGCTGGACAAAGACATAGAAGACCTGCTGTCCCCGCCTCGGCCTCGCCTCAATGCCTGGATGTCTGGTATCATAGTCATTGAAACTAGGCACAAAGCAAAGAGAAAGTAGTAGTGCCAGGAGCCTTAGCCCATTTATCCGACTTTAGGGACACAAAAGGTCTTATCTGTCACAAGGATCGGCAAAAGCTCGTTTTAAGCCCCTCTAGGCGGGCCCTTTGCTTTTGGTCAAACGAAGGGTAAATAGTTGTCATCGGTCTTTTTCTTTTGTCTCGGATGAGGCTCGATGTAATTGACCTTGATGTTCGATGCGAGTCTTTCTTTTGGTCAAGATGAGAGGAAATAGCAGCCAAAGTAGCTGCCAGTCTTGTTTCAGTCCGGAAGAAGAGAGAGTAAGACTTCCACATCTGTGGTTATTAATTAGTGCGGCTAGGCTAGGAACGAACCCTGCTTTCAAGTCCGAAGAATGCCCTTCTTTTCTCGCGTTATCTATCAGAGTCATAGTTGATACTGCCCAGGAACTATCTGTCCTGTCTCCTCTGCGCCACCCCTGCGCCCCTTTTGATCCACAGCGGGGTAATTTAATTACTATAGTAGCTCCTTTGCTGCCCTTTCTGCCTCTGCCTTTAACCGATCCGGCCGACAGGAACTAAAAGCGAGGTTTCGGAGTCCGACTCAGAAACCGAGTAATCAAAAGTATTGACCGAAGGTTATTCCATCCCCTGTACTAAACTCGCCCTAGGTAATCAGCTCTCAAACTACCAACTCGGGAACAGGGGCCATGAAAGACAAGACCTAAAGGAGAGACTTTCCATGCATCAGTCAGAGATATCAACAGGAGAAACGAGCTCTGGTCATGAGTTCGTTGCCGCGCCTCAACTGGTCGTTCATAAATAGACTCTCCTACGGGATCTACTATTCGATATGTATACTGTGCATTATTCACGGGAGAAAGGGTTAACTCGTAAAGCAAAATGTCGTGCCAATCCTAGATCCTGAGACCCGAGGTACGAGCCTGTCATCTCCGTATCATGCTCTCCTCATGTTCAATAAAAGACAAGGGACTCTAAGCCCCACCCTTTCACCTGAGTCTGCTTTAGTCATCTTTGACCTTGGGCCTACCGACTTTACTATCTTACGAACCCAGCAGCTCAGCAGCTAGGCTCAAAGGAAAAGCAATGGAGTGCGGGTTCAGACTCCACTGTTTTAGACAAACGGCATGAGCCTAATGGTCTCTCTCGCGCTGCCCATTCGATCGCCTGGGCAGGAAAGGGTTTACACCCTGAATCCGGTGACAAAAGGGCTGCTTAGACGGCCCTTACAACCTTTTGTTTAGGGAACTTGGCAAAAATAGATCTTCCTAAAGGAATTACTTATTGCTTTTAAGAATAAGAAAGGACTCCTTTTAAAGCCAGCACATATAAGAAATATGGTTTCCAGGTCACGTAGAACTAAAATAAGGATCGTTAACTCGAGCCCTGGAACCTCCGCTTTCGGCCTAGCTCTTCAACAACTGCTCCCTATGTTTATGTTTCGGTCTTTGAAAGCGAGGTTTAAGCGTGCTTAAGTCTTTCCGTCCACTTGCTGACCATCTACTACTGGGGTTTGGTTTGAACGCACCAACTCAGAAACTTTAGACTCGCGAATCGCCTACTTGCCCCACCTTATCATCGGCCCTGGACGGGCCAACCTACTTTATAATCTTCTTACTACCCTTTCGCTTTTCGATTAGCTCCGTTAAGCCTATAACCTTCCGGGTGCCTACTGAAGAGGTCAACATATAGGCCCGGGAAAGCCCTTCAGGAGTTCAGTAAGAACGGATGAGCAGACAAGCGGAGAAGCCAGTAGTGGAGAAGTTCCAGGAGCTCTCCCGAATACCTATTCGTCTTCTGTTGTGCAAGGCCGAAAGGATCTCTTATTTATTTACTTATATTATTCGGAATCCTGAACCTACGCTTGTCATCTCGTTACCTTGGACCTTCGCCCTTTCACTTGAACCTGCGCCTGAGACCCTAGCACCTACTCGGACAGGAACTCATAAGAGACAGCTAAACTCCATAGCAATGTGGGGCCTGGAACTACCGTATGAATTTGCCGCAGGGGTGTTGAATACCTTGCCATTTCGCTTTAAACAAAGGAACTCAGTAAAGAAGAGGGCTAAGGCTGCCACGGCCAACAACAACTAGAACTCCACTGCCAAAGCTGGGTCGTCAACAACAGCTGGAACGAGTGAACTAGCAATATAGCCTAGCTACCCATTGGACGGAGACTACGGCTCCTTGCCTGCGGTGTATTCAATACGTAGTCATATCGATAGAAAGCAATTACTATCAATGTATACGTAGTCCTATCAAGATTGAACAAGAGTAAGTGTATTCATCTACCGCGGGTATCGTCAATAGCTGTCCAGTCACCATATTGATTTGGCTAGACTCTCTAGTAAGAAACGAAGTAAGGAACTCGGCTCTTACACGGTCAAGAGAAAGTGTATTCATGCGCTTTCAGTCAATCTCAAAGACTACCGTACCAGGCCAAGTCATATCGATATCAAACAAAAGCGAGGTTTCTGTGAAGTGGTGTTGTCCAATGAAGTCCTGTCCAAGCAAGCACAGCTGCCAAACAAGATGGGGTTTACGAAAGTGTTGTTCCAATGCGCCCATGCGATCAAAGAATTCATTTTAGCCGGTATTTCAAGTGGAAGGTTTCGAGCGAAGCGATCAAGTCCAGTTCAGTGGTTTCAGAGTTGAGGAGTTGTTGCCCAAAAGCTGGGGTGTTATCCTTGAGGTGGTATTCTGTAGCCTTCAGTCAAGGAATATCTTCTATGACCTTCCAACAGGGAGCTTATTCCCCTTATATATGCATTTGTTTACTAGAGTATTTGTTATGTTAGCCTTCGGTCAATCAATAGCAGTCGTGTGTGTTCGTGTGTAGTGCACCGTAAAGGTGGTTGTGTAGCTCATGGGTTAAAGGATTCGAAGAAGCTACTGTAGGTTCGACTTGCCCCTGCCTAGCTCCCATTAGATTGGTTGTTGGTTGATACGAACCCTATTTAACCTCCTTGCCAAATACCCGATTGTTCAGGAACTTGCTTATTGTTTTGGAGCTGGGGCTAGATCCCCTTGGGAAATATCCATGAGTTTCGGAATATATAACAGTTGGGGAATCCGGGACTCCTTGGACGAATTCGATATATGAACCGGTAAGAGAATCCCTAGTAGGCAGGCTTGTTGGGGGAGATAGAACAGGGGCGTGTCCACTAGCTCGTACTCGTCCATTTGCTCTGGAATAGCTATTCATTTGGGGATTGAAACTGGAGCAGCTGGAGTCGAACCCGGGATCAAAACCCGCTGGGCTATGCCCGCTCTGATCTGATATATTTAGTAATCCCCTCAGTTATGGAAATTACTAGCAGTTTGAAGATATATAGCTTAATGTTGCTATTTTTGCTTTCTTTTCCTCTCTAAAAGAGAGAGTTTCTCAATTGTTGCGTGTTATAAGAAAGATATGTCTACCGAATAGTTAGAATATTAGGCCGGCTTCGAAGAATGCCCCGTTGTTCTGGAGTTGCCCCTTATTATGTAATGGGGATTGAAACCCCCCAGGCATGTCCATCAGTTTGAGTTTGGTAATTTACCATTGTTTTGAAATCTGGAATGCCTCGTCTGTAGACCCTATGAAATCGGGTGCGGCACTTCGCTATAGATATGAAAGGAAGATTTGGACTTCTTTCTTCCTCTTCGGACGAGAAGAAAAGTTCAGAGAAGGCCGGAAAGATGGACTTTGATGACTCCCCTTCGGTTTCTGAAAGTGTACTTTTTCCGAGATTTGTCGATTAGTCCCTCAGAAAGCGGTTGAGGACCTTTGGATACCCGTTTTCCAGGGTGAAAGCCGAAATACGGGTGTAAAAGCATTTTCTTTGAATAGTTCCCTTTTGGTTGTTTTTCAAATCCTCTCTTTTGCCTTTCTCGTACATACAAGAGTTCGAAATTGGATTCCCTATAGATCCGCACTATTCAGTCACCAAAATCCGGCCATTTTGCTATAAATGCCTTTATTCCCGCCCTTTTGAAGCTATTATCTTAAATAAGCATTTTTTGGCATGTCATACAAAGATAGGTCAAAAAGCCGACAAAAGCCCGTCTTTTGAGCATGATTTAGAGGGTCTCTCAGATTTCTAAGTGAACATCGTGTTATGCTTAACACACGCAAGTCGAAGACAGTGGATTTTTCCAATCTGAAATGTTTAGATCCTTTCCCTTTCGCCAGGTGCATTTATACCCGTACCCTCTGTGTACTCTTCTGGTTAGACTACAACGCTAAGGTTAGATTCCGAGGTGAAACAGTCAAGTTGCTGCTTTCCCCGTACCTCTTCTCGTTAGCTGCCTTTCCCCGGGTGTAGAGGCGCCTATTCGTTTAGGAAGAGTAAGGTAGTTCACTGACTTTCACTAGTTCGCTTTTCCAGTTAGGCGAGTTAGTCGATACAGAGTTTCCCCTTTCCGGTTAGGTGGGCGTGGTATACCCAATTGATGAATCACCCGCGAGGCCAGGTTTTCTAACGATTTGGATATAGAAAAAAGGCCAAGGAGGCGGGATCCTATGTCGACTGTTGACCGGTTGCCCCAAGATCAGAAGATACGATAAGCTTCCCCGGTGAAACTGCAAAGTTGCTGCTCCGAGGCTTTTACCGAAAGTAGGGGAGGAGTGGCTAAACCAGTTGACTTCGGTGGTGAAACTGCTTTTACGGGGCGAAACCCGAAAGGAAACTTTCCCCCTAAGTAGAGTCCAAGAATTGGATTTGAAGAGTTCCCCGTGTAACAGGGTTCCAAGGTTCAACTGCTTTATAGCAGCGGCTCCGAGGTTAGACAGCAAAGTCGTTATACGAGGATTTCCCCGGGGGTTACTTAGCTCCAAAGAAAGACTTTTCCTCGTCCGGGAAAAGACTCTCTTCCTTCTTATAGTCTCCTTCCGGGATTGGTTCCTTCTCTCTCTTCGCCTAAGATAAGGACAAAGACAGACATTGTTTCTCCTCTGAAACAACAGGAGGCTAAAATCGTGCGGAATAACGCGACTTTCAAACCCCAATAAGGAATCACTCACGAGGGGGTGTTATCTCGCGATTATTTTTTATAAGATAGGGGGTTAGAGATAGGATCCTAGGTTGAACACCGGCCTCTTGTCCCAAGATCCTCAGATTAGGACAGCTCCGGAGCCGCTTCTCCTGTGCCCTTAGCCTTACCAGTAGCGTGCTGCTAACCCGGCTTCCCCCTTTTTTCCAATATGAAAGATTGGTCCTTCCCGTCGACTGTTAGGAGTGACTGTTGGACTGACCTTCGCTTTACCCATGCCCATGACTCTATCTTTCCATGCCTTTTACCGGGCCTTTCTTCCCTTCCCCCAAGTAGAGGCAAAAGAAAAGACCTTTCATACTTCCTTCTGTGGAGGGAAAAGAATCTCTTTCACCTTGACTTTGGTATTGACCATATCTATTGGTCTTTCTTATCGACAGTTCCTTCGCTCGGAGATTAGGAGTGACTATACAAGGTTGTCCAGAAGAAAGGTGTTATCAACAGTAGGAACATTCCAATGCTTAGCAACAAGCAACATTCGGTACCAGGAGAAAGACTTTGTTTTCATAGTCCCTTTGGCGGATTGAAAGGAGTCTCTTTTGCCTTGACTCTAGTATTTCCCATTGAGCAAGAAAGGCAGATTCCCAAAAGAAGGTCCTAAGGTAGCAGGCAGCTTATCCTGCTTTTAGCCGACCTCTGGAACTTCTGAAACATCGATGCCAGTCCAGTAAAGCCAGTAAAGAATAAAAAGAAGAACTCGACTTTCGGATCAATCCACTTTCATCGAAAAAGACGGGGTAGAAGCCACTGGGTTTGTAGCTTTAGACGGGTTTAGTCGACGGGTTGGTTTCCGAGGACAGCTTTGTAGCTTGGAGGTTAGCGTTTAGTCGAGACAGCTTTTCCGCTGCTTTCCCGGCATTTTTGGATGACATTTATGTCTAAATTCTTTTTGTAAGGTTCGACTTAAAACGGACAAGAGGAATTCCTCGCCGAATGGAATGTAGCAACTAACTACTAGCTTAGTGAGCAGATCTAACTCTTTGTTGGGTAACTAGAATGGAAGGAAGAGAGAGCCTTGGATTGCTTTCGGCAAGGAACTTTCTCTCTTAAAGATGGTATTCCAGGCCCCTCATTAAAAAGCGCAATCACAGCTGTCGAAGCGAGTGCTCTACTTTCTCCGAGAAGATAGGATTAGGACCAAATTCCCGAGTTTCAATAAACTGTCACGCTTTCAATTGGAATTAGGCACGAATTAGTCCTTACTCGAAAGAGTAAGCAAGCGCTACGCCCCTTTGAAGATGACCCATATGGGGTTCCTACTTCGCCCGCTGTAACTCTTCTTCCGCTGCTTAATCCCTTACGCTCTATTCTCCGTGCTTGTCCGTTACTCCTATCTGAATTTCCCCAAAGACTTCTATTTGTGTAATAAGTTTTCGCGGATTCTTAAATTGAAGACCGAAATATCGTAAGAGAAGAAGTTCGAGTCTAATTTCATTTCTTTTGATTCTTGAAGAAGGAAAGGCTAGCGAGCCAATAAGCTTAGCC